TAAACAGGATTACTAAAACAAATATCACAAAAACAAACAATAAAATGACTATGTTTTTAGAGTAAAAGGCGAAAAGCTCCTCCACAGCCTTACAATAAACCTATTGGATCACCTAGAAAATTACAGGTTTGTTTGTTTGTTTTTTCATTTTTTGCTAACCAGCTACATGTCCAAGAACTTGTCAATTGATGATTTTTCGTATCTGGAAAATTTAGGTGACTTGAAATATTCCTTTGCAATCTGTTTACCTGCTGTTTTAAGGTCAAATCTTATAACTTTTATATAGCTTATCAAATTCATAAGGTAAACACAATGGAAAATCATTTCCGTGACCACATCTTTATATGAGCAAGAGATTTGTCCTGATTTGCATACGACTTTAACTTCAATTTTCTCTTACAAATGATATTTTATCCTAAAGTTTTTTTTATGTTGGAATTTGATAAGCAATATAAAATATTCTCGTCCGACCTTTATGAGCTATAAAACTGCTCGCTTTCAGCTGGCAGTTATAAAGGCCCATTAACCCTTGTCCTGCCGGTAACTGAGTGGGTAACTTTTACTCACTGGTGTTTTTTTTGTGAATTACACTTCTCCAATTCACGTAAAATCAGGGCTTTCTTCCTTATCTTCGCTGTCTTCTCCTTCAATTTGTAGAAATCTATCGAACATTTTCTCTTCTAATTAGCGTCAAAACCTTCAAAATCTTCGTTGTCATCAGAGTTAAAAAGTACATTGAAATTGAACACGTTGTTTAGTGGCCATTTTGAAAACACTAAAAGTACAACTTTGCAACACAGTCTGTTTGAATTTGACTTTATTACAAAACTCACCTACATTTATAAAGCTCTGTAAAGCTCTTTCACAAATTCCTTGACATAAAATCATTGCAAAATGTTAAAGACTTAAATGACAATGCAATCCCAGAAATACAAACCCTCCGACAAGCTTTGGTTTGAAGTTTAATAAGAAATTCCGAAATTTTCTCATTGTTCAAGCATGACTTCTATCATCTGAAAAAAATCAGAAAAATGATTGGTTGATAGCTTAATTGTGTAGCAATACATGTGCTAAAGGTCAAACTAAAATGTGCTCAAATGAGCAAGGAATTTATGTTAATGTATGCACATGTATTAAAAACGAGTAAACTCGTCTTTGACAGTGGGAAACAAGAAACCGGAGAGTTAACTCGTCTTTTGCAGGGCAAGGGTTAAGGTCTCCCACTCATATTTTATATATTACATAAAGGGATTATAAAGAGTAAGTTTTTGCTTATATTGGTCATGAGGAAATACAAGAAAGGGCTGGTGACTAGTCACAAACTTGGTGCAGTAATTACAAAGGGAGACTCTAAAAAAGATATAATGTATGGAGATTTGGGGCAGCATCTATAATTAAACATACATTCTGTCATATTTTGGCATTTCAAACTGGTTCCCTGTACTAAGTCGACCATTTTCATTCTTGTTCTCAGTTTCCTTTTGAATTTATGCTACGATAAGTTTGTATTTTCAAACCTAAACAAAAGCTTACTATTTTGTAATCATATTGCAGGCTCAGTTTGGTGGTCCCCCAGTACAATCATTATCTGTACCAAGACGAGCTGTTATATCTAGATTACAACCAAAAACAGACACAACACAGATGACATCCACACCATTACCCACAGCTGTTACTGGGTATGTGTTAGCTATGTARTGTTTACAACTTGTGAAACAATGTTTACTTGTGAAACGTTTAGGTGTATACATTCATAATCTACTAAAAACTTAAAGATAAAATTGAATAGCCGACTTGCGAATTACGCATCAATAGTCACATACAAAGGAATCAAGACGAGGCGCCGTGCTAAAGACAATAGATTTTTCACAAAAAAGCACGGCGCCTCGTCTTGATTCCTTTGTATGTGACTATTGATGCGTAATTCGCAAGTCGGCTATTTGGCTGAGAAAATTAGATTTGAAGTTTATGCAAATCAAGACAGTTTTGTATCAAAATATTACAACACTCTTCACAGTTGTGATTTCTATTGCGTTTTACTCATTAATTATTCATGAGTTTTACAAAGAATGAATGAATATATCACTTAATTGGAAGACAATTGTCATATACAAATTTAGATTTTTTTTTTTACGTATTTATCTTTTTTGTTACAAGCACCTTATTCTGTCAAGTTAAAAGCAAAAAAGAGCAATAAAACAGTTTCAGTTTCAGCAATATAGGAAGTGATTGAAACTCTTGTTAATGTTTCATAACTTATTTTTATTTGTAAATTTTGTTTTTTCAAAAGTTTAGTTTTTATATGACAAAGTTATTTCAAAGTTAATTCATATTATACACATTCGATACATTCAATACTCTTTCCATCCACTTGATACACATTCGATATGCATTCCATCCACTAGATACAGATGCAATACAGATTCCATCAGCTTTATACATATTCGATACACTCTATACACATTCAATACATATTCCATCCACTCAATACAAACTCGATACACATTTGAAACACTCGATAAACATTTGATACACATGCAATCCACTCAGTACACATTC